TCCCCCCTTATGTATTATACATGGAGATCATATCCCCCCTTATGTATGTATTATGGAGATCATATCCCCCTTATGTATTATACATGGAGATCATATCCCCCTTATGTATTATACATGGAGATCATATCCCCCCTTATGTATTATACCATATGTCCCCCTTATGTATTATACATGGAGATCATATCCCCCCTTATGTATTATACATGGATGATCATAACCCCCCTTAATCTCCTTAATCTCCTCTTCTCAAGAGAATAAATTCAGTTCCTCTAATCTTTCCTCATAGCTGAGCTCCTCTATGCCTCTTATCAGTTTGGTTGCCCTTCTCTGCACTTTATTCCAGCTTCCCCAATTTTCTCTGTTTTAGGGGTTGTGGCCTTGCTGGAACTCTTGTGCATAGGTTTTGGGCTCTCCTTGATCTGGCGTAGGATATCGGAGGTGGCCTCTGCCTTGATGGGCTCCCTGGTTGACTTGTCACTGCACATTTGTTTATTGGCTGCAGCCATTTTGGGGATTCCAGCAAACCAAATGAGACTAATCCATACTATTTGCGCTTCCACCCTATGGGCCATTGTCCTTCATTGGAAGTCCCCAGTAGTCCCTCTGGCCTCTGTATTGTGGAGAGTTGATATGGTTATGCTCATGAAACGTATTCAGTGCACATTATTGGACAGGATGCATTTATTCAACCGAAAATGGAATGGTTGGAAAACACATCGACATTTAATGTTAGATTAAACAGCTTCTGTACCATTATTTGTCTTTGATTCTTTGTCAGTTATGCGGTTAATCTGCGTACAATGTTGATCAACTCATTCATGTACTTGATCTTAATTTTTTGTGATTATCTTTATTTCACTGTAAAACATTTATGTGCCTTTTTCTTACTGTTCATTCTACCTCATGTATGATGTACAGTTTCTGTAGTCTATCTTTCAATAAAAACGTTTGTAAACAAAGAAATGCATATTAAATCAGTGGAGTATGCAGCGCTATGACACCTCTTATGATAAATCATATATCTTTGGAACATTGAATAGCAGTTCCTAAATTAAAACTGAAAAAATTATTTAAGTATCCACATTATTTATATTGATAGACAAATAAAGCAATAATAATTGTAAAAGAAGTTCGTAATGTTCAGTGTATTCCAAATCCGGAAGAATCGAATATAATTATGCGCTTTCCACAAGAACATACAAACTGAGCGTTGTATGTATGTAATCAGGTGTACCATCCGCGGGTGTCAGGGTCTGGTCAGCAATATGGGCAGCAACCGGTCACCAAGGTAGACACTTGGGAGATGACAAGACTCACTCGGGGGTCACATCTGGCTCACCAGCAGGTCCAACGACGTCCAGCCTCCTGATGGTATTATTCCTGGGGAGCTCCACCTTGCAAGGCTCACAAATAACGAGCCAAGGGGCAAAATAGCACTAATAGTGAAGCACGTCTTTATTAAATAAATCCAAAGTAAAGGTAAAACAACTCACACTTGTGAGAGTATAAACTGGGGCACAGGATGGAGTCTTTACAAAACACATTAAAGCGAAACTAAATTCATGGTCACAAGTGTGAGTTGTTTACCTTTACTTTGGATTTATTTAATAAAGACGTGCTTCACTATTAGTGCTATTTTGCCCCTTGGCTCGTTATTTGTGAGCCTTGCAAGGTGGAGCTCCCCAGGAATAATACCATCAGGAGGCTGGACGTCGTTGGACCTGCTGGTGAGCCAGATGTGACCCCCGAGTGAGTCTTGTCATCTCCAAGTGTCTACTTGATGACCGGTTGCTGCCCATATTGCTGACCAGACCGACACCCGCGGATGGTACACCTGATTACATACATACAACGCTCAGTTTGTATGTTCTTGTGGAAAGCGCATAATTATATTCGATTCTTCCGGATTTGGAATACACCGAACATTACGAACTTCTTTTACAATTATTATTGCTTAATTTATCTATCAATATAAATAATGTGGATACTAAGTAATTTTTTCAGTTTTAATTTAGGAACTGCTATTCAATGTTCCAAAGATATATGATTTATCATAAGAGGTGTCATAGCGCTGCATACTCCACTGATTTATTTTGCTATTTAGGTATTGAGGATTGCCTTGTATGCTAGCTGCCTGTTCTGTGGTTTGCGCTCACTTACCCCCTCCCTTTAAAGAAATGCATATATATACGGCACATCTTAGTTGCAGATTTTGGATTCTGTGTTCTGGATCTCAAAGCAGCTCATGTTTACGCACCTGTGTGAATGGATCCATTGAAAAAAAAATGCAGCTGCATTTAGATCTGTAATTAAAAAACACTTATATATGCGTATTTCTATAGGGGTGTGAATGGAGCCGTCTACAATTTAATCTTTTGGACTTGATAATTACAGTGTATCCCTTTAATTCCACATATACCAATCTCAATCACAACCCATGGATGTGGAAATCGGTATGCAGAACCTGCCAGTCTTATATTCCCACTTCCGCAGACACACCACCATCATAGTTTTGGATGAAATCACCAAATTTCAGGCTTCCAGTGCCTTTAACCAATGCCAGATTAAAAAGCCCCAGTACCTGAGTCTAGCAGCCAATCATTAGGTTCAAGTACAGTCATGTTACGAGCGAGTGAGTGACGTCACCACTCCTAGCGCCTGACACCATCCACTATTAGCTATTTCAGTGCCAGCTGCCGCATAGGAATAAGTCGAAAAGGGAGCTTTGGTATGGAAAGTATAACTGGGGCACAGGATGGAGCCTTTACAAAACACATTAAAGCGAAACTAAAGTTCATGGTCACAAACATCAAGCAGACAGGCTTTTATTGCAGAAGAGACATGCAATGAGAATGTAGAGAAGTAAGGCCAAAAGAGCTGGTCAAACTTCTCTTTTAAATTTAAAAACCTCCAGGCCCGTGTCGATGGGCTTTTGTTTGCTTCAAACAGGTTTTGCATTCTTATATGCTCGTCTCCAAGACTTCTCCAGGGCGTCACCCATCCTCTGGAACTCCCTACCCCAATCTATCAGACTATTGCCTACTCTACTTACCTTTAGGTGATCACTGCAAACCTATCTCTTCAGAGAAGTCTATCCCGCCCTCAGCTAATACTGGAATCCTCTACTCTTCCAACCACTCCATCCCCCACAGTTATGACCTATTGTACCATGCACCCCTCCCTCCTAGATTGTAAGCTCCAAGGATCAGGGCCCTCAAATCCCTCTTGTATTGAACTGTATTGTTGCTGTATTGTCTCCCACTATATTGTAAAGCGCTGAGCAAACCGTTGGCGCTATATAAATCCTGTATAATAATAATAATTATACAAGTCTATGGAAATGCAAAACCTACCAGAAGCAAGTCAGGAGTGTCTCCTACAGGTCCATTGCACCTGGCAATGAACTCTGACCTCAACCTGATGCCACTGACATTAGCCCAAAGCCCACCAGCACAGGCCCCCGTCTCTGCTGTGAGAAAACCAAGATATAGAGACTTTCTACATTAAAGCGGAACTATAATCACCCTGTGCTGCAGCAATGTGACGTCCACCAGCAGGATCGCCAACATCCTCTCACCAGCTTCTTCCGGGTTCAATCATCTTGATTGGCCAGGCCAGGATGATGTAACACTAATGCACTCGCATGGGAGTTAATTCATTCTGGCACCTGGTATATGTCAGAAGTGTACACTGAGCTGCGCATTCACAGTTCAGCATACTGTATACTGTAGAGAGTTTGCTAGGAGTACAGGAAGAATCCTCTATTGTAGAAGAGATAGAAGAGACATAGAATGAACATGAACACTTCAAGATGCTAGAACCACACGTCTAACAAATACAATGCAAAATGTATAGCAAACTTCACACATATGATAAAAAAAAGAAAAACCAGGAAAAGTGCATACTAACATACAATAAACCAACAATGATAACAGTATTAAAGTGTTACTAAACCCACAACAGTACAATCAGTCTGTATATGCAGTAAAGCACGCTTGTTAAACTCACTGTGGAACCTAAGGGGTTAATCCTCCGCATTGTACAAAACCGCTGTTTGATCCTGACCTTTCTGCTCCTCCTCTTATTCAAATGTCCACGTCTTATCTCCTAATAAAACAGACTGAACCGTAGCCATTCGCACATGCTCAGTGTAGTGTGAATTGCTAGAGTTTCTTTTCTTGGAATGTGATCAGCACAGGGCCAATCAGTATTGTCCAGACAGAGTTCAGGGGTTTTGCATCCTCCTAGAGCAGAATGAAAATTCCTCCTACAATCTTTAATCAGTACTGACAGAAGTCACTGCTATATACTGCTGATGAGAAAAAGTATTTAGCAGTTTATATTTACTAAAATAATTGCACTTCCATGTTGTGTGTACTGTGGGAGACCAGATAGTGTAAATGCAGAGTCCGGGGGGAGACCAGATATAGTGAATGCAGGGTCCGGGGAGATCAGATATAGTGAATGCAGGGTCTGGGGAGATCAGATATAGTGAAGGCAGGGTCCGGGGAGAGCAGATATAGTGAATGCAGGGTCCGGGGAGACCAGATATAGTGAATGTAGGGTCCGGGGAGACCAGATATAGTGAATGCAGGGTCTGGGGAGACCAGATATAGTGAATGTAGGGTCCGGGAGACCAGATATAGTGAATGCAGGGTCCGGGGAGATCAGATATAGTGAATGCAGGGTCCGGGGAGACCAGATATAGTGAATGCAGGGTCTGGGGAGACCAGATATAGTGAATGCAGGGTCCGGGGAGAGCAGATATAGTGAATGCAGGGTCCAGGGAGAGCGGATATAGTGAATGCAGGGTCCAGGGAGACCGGATATAGTGAATGCAGGGTCCAGGGAGACCGATATAGTGAATGCAGGGTCCAGGGAGAGCAGATATAGTGAATGCAGGGTCCAGGGAGAGCAGATATAGTGAATGCAGGGTCCAGGGAGAGCAGATATAGTGAATGCAGGGTCCAGGGAGACCGATATAGTGAATGCAGGGTCCAGGGAGACCGGATATAGGGAATGCAGGGTCCGGGGAGACCAGATATAGGGAATGCAGGGTCCGGAGAGACCGGATGCAGATATAGTGCATGCAGGGTCCAGGGAGACCGATATAGTGAATGCAGGGTCAGTGGGGATACCAGATATAGTGAATGCAGGGTCCAGGGGAGACTAGATATAGTGCATGCAGGGTCTGGGGAGACTAAATATAGTGAATGCAGGGTCCAGGGAGACCAGATATAGTGAATGCAGGGTCCGGGGAGACCAGATATAGTGAATGCAGGGTCCGGGGAAACCAGATATAGTGAATGCAGGGTCCGGGGAAACCAGATATAGTGAATGCAGGGTCCGGGGAGAGCGGATATAGTGAATGCAGGGCCCGGGGAGACCAGATATAGTGAATGCAGGGTCCAGGGAGACCAGATATAGTAAATGCAGGGTCCGGGGGTTTAGTAACACTTTAAAGAAAGGTTGACACTGTTCTGCCCAGAGAACTGTGCGTTCAGTGGTGGACTTCTGCGGTGAACAAAATACAAATAAAGCTCTCCCAACACATATTCCAGCTCTATTAGCCTAAACAAAATCTTGCACCTGCTCTGTGATAACTGAATTATCAGCTTTTGAGTTGGCCATACATGGCCCAATTTTTGGAGGATTCCTGTTAAATTACACCCCCAGCTACACAAGCTTGGATTGGTAAATTGAAGGAGCCAGGTTTGCAAATTGACGTCCAAACAGCGATTGCAAGAGAAGCAGTCACTGCAGCATTGGGTGCCACACCTACTTGCATACAGTAGCCGGCAGGGAATACTTTCTCCATCCACACTGTTTAGTATGGATGCGTGTATGGCTTGGCATTATGTCCAGACACCTAGAGCATTCCATGGTGTGTCTGGTCTATTCATTCTACCACCTGCACCATTGAACATGGTCTTCAAGCCGGGCACTCATATTCCTTCTGTACCGAAATGTATTGTAATTGTACTGTCTCCCTTATATTGTACAGTGCTGCGCAAACTGTTGGCGCTATATAAATCCTGTATAATAATAATAATGATCTTGGGCAATGCTTTAGCTACGATTAGGCTCCTGCTATAGTACGTCACCTGGTACTCACCATTGGCAAAATCCATTGGTCACTGGGTCTGGCCTTACTTTGCAACTTAGCATGTTATTTTATTGCAGAACAACTTGTTGCAAGCCTGTCATGTTTCACATGACTGTCATATGCCTTTAAGTGTTCTCTGTATTTTGTTTCTGCTCCTTCCTTTCCTTTGGTTTAGTTAATGCTGTATAGATAGCCCTCCCTCTTTCCCAGAAATGCATTGCAGCAAGCCTCATGTCATGAAGCAGAGCACATTATGATCTTTTGACCTATCAGATGTTCATTGATGTAAGATTCTCTCAGTTTTTGGAATAAACTTCACAAGATCTACAAGATATAATCTCGATTGAGTCACTGACTGTGGAATCCAACTAAGATTGGAGTTATTGCTATCTCATCACAACTGTAAGTTAAAGAGATCAAACTTTCAATGGAGAGACAGAACAAAGACAATAGTTGTCTTTTTCATACAAGTCACTGAGAATTTTAAAGCAGCACAGAAGCACCTCCAAAGGAAATATTTTAATTGCATGGTGAGGACTCCTTAAACGTCAAGTTCACAATAAAAAAAAAAAAATATTGTTTAGTCAAGGGTCCCAGTATCAGAAAAAAAACAAGAAAACGTAGAAAAATAGTGCTTAGTTTACATGACATACCTGTAGGCCAATATTATTATTATCCAGGATTTATATAGCGCCAACAGTTTGTTCAGCGCTTTACAATATCTGCATCAGTCAAAGCCTGTGCCAAAAAAAATCTACCACACCGACAGATGTGCCCAGTCCTGGTATAGAAACTGGGCCACCTTGACCAGTCAGTGTGCCCCCATCATAACAGGAAACAGCACTCTTCCTTGTTCACAAACCGGCACATATAGAATGTGTTCTTCCTCCCCGTCATGGCAGTTCTGAGCTCGGCTGCTGCTGCAACTTACCCACAGGTATGTCATGTAAACGTAGCTCCATTGTTCTAAACTTGACATGGCTTTTACACTACTGGGGCCCCCTGACTGCACAATTTTTTTTTTTTTAAAGGTGAGCTTAGCCACATTTACAAGCCTTTAGTGATACCAAATACGTGCCTGCCTTAACCTCCCTAGCGGTCTGATGTTAGTATTTCTGTGCTCTCAAAGCGGTACATTTTTTTGCATGGAAATATGTCGTTTTCTTACTGTAGGCCTGTAATACTTAAGAATAACTCAGAATAACTCACTGAAATCTGTCCAAACAAGAGTCTAGTAAACATCCAGGGTATGATAAAATTTGAAACAAAATAATAAATTATAATAAAATAAATTATAAAAAAAATAATATAAGAACAATAAATTTAATTCAATAATATAATCAAACCAAAAACACTTGAAATATAGCGCCAAATTCGCACATCACTGAGCAAAGTCGCAGAATCGTTTTCAGTGTCTGATGAGGAATTTCCCCCACGAATCATTATCACTCAATTCTGCAAGTGGTTCTGATTTACTATCGCTGTTCTCTAGCCGGTCTAAAACCGCTTTTGACCTAAAAGGGACGCTTTTTGGACGCCATGGACGTTTCTCAGTTTCCAGGCAGAAAGAACAGTAAAAATGCAGGCAGGGCGCAGGACAAAGCACTCGGGACAAAATGTATGTGAAATGGTTTGATACAGTAATGTTTTACTATGTGAATTTAGTGTATTTAGTGAATGTCATTTTTTAACATTTTTAAATTTCCCGCCATTCCATCCCCCGTACGTCCCGACGTCGCAGGGGACAGAACCCAGAAGACAGATGTCGGCATCCGCTGGAGGACATTGCCGGGGACACTGCAGGAGGGACATCGAGGGAGCGCAGAACAAGGTAAGTGCAAGAGGGATCCCTGAGCAGCGCTGCAGGGGAATCCCGAGTGTAGTTCGGGGTTACTGCTTGTGGTGCTGAAAGTTAACTACGAGCTACACTCGGGAATACCGCCAGGGGGGTTAATCTGGTCACCAGCAGGACAACTCTGGGAATCACAACATTCCAGTTACCTTGCATCTCTCCACCATCTGTTCCTAAACCCTACAGCCCAAGGGAGCCCGTGTCTACCACTAGGGGGATACCTGCAACCCTTTCCCGGCCAGGCCTTCTTGTTTAATCTCTACATTCCCTGCATAACTGCAACACATATATTCACAGGTGTGTTTATCCTGATTTGGGGGGAAGATTGTTCCTAGAACCAACCTTAACACCCCAGTCACATAGGGTGCGACTTGGCATGCGATTTGTATTTCGTATGCCAAGTCGCACCCTAATGTCTGCTATTACAGCGGTCATATCGGTGCGGTTCCAACTTGGTCGGAGCCACAGCGATTTCTAACATAGTACATGCACTACTTTTAGTGCAATTTGCATAGACATCTGTGTCAGATGTCTTGCAAATCACACCTCAAATCGGCATGTCACCCGAATTTGAAATAGTGCGACTTCACTGTAAGTCACACGATTTCAAAATCGGCTTTGATGTGAGCGGGGTTTTAAGGCTTTCAGCATATCTGCAGCTATATAAGAACAATAAGAATTTAGCGAGCGCTTACAGTAGCAGCTAGTGCACCAAAAAGGAAAACCTTCTCAATGTACAATGTAAATAAAAAAGTGCAGTGCTAAAACAGTAAGAAACCAAAGAATAGTAATAGAACAACATGACATGAGGTATTTCCATAAGAACAAACAAACTCTGGTATAAGTGATACGATCGTCCAGATAAAGTGCAATTAAATATATAGCTAAATTAAAGTGCCAAAAGGTGGTAGTATGTATATCAGGTGACAGTGACAGTCCCCAATGGTTATTAACGGATGAAAAACTTCTATATCCCGGTGTGAACCAGTAGTACTCCGGTGACATGTGACAAATGGAAAGATCTGATAACGTGCAAGCGCACGAAACGCGTTAGGGAGGTGCCCTACATCCTGTGACGTCACACCGGACGGCCGGTGGCCATTTTGGAATTTCCTGATACCAGCTGCTTACTACTGCATGTGAGTAGTACATTCAGTACCTGTCTATTTTATCCCTGTGGCTATTAAAGTACTACACTATCAGATCTGTGTTCTGGCTCATTACTCCCGAGCCCCCCCCCCCCTCCTTCAAGGCGGATTAGGATGATCTGGTGGCCACAACATGAATGGTTAAACTCCCCTGCTGGTGAGATGATAACATATCCCCTGGTACCTGGAGACCCTGAGGTTGCGACACTTGCCCAGCTGACGCAGGCCACACGACCCTCGCTGTGATCCAGTTCCAATAGGCGGATGACCAGGAGTTGGTGAACACTCAAATGCGCATTACCATTGCGCTTTTGGTTAGTGCAATCTACACTCATCTCTGTGGGATTTACATGGTCACAGAAGTCACTAATTTTCTAACCATCTTGCCTTGAAAGTTTGCACTGTGCACCGCAAGAACACTCTTGTGGGAGATACTTATTCACCATTAGCACAATTCCTGGACGTTTAGATAATTTTAGATCCATCTACTATTAAGTAGTGTTCACAATATCATTATTTTGACCATATGCACTGTATGATTATATGCATTTCAATTAATCTATTATTGAATTATATTAGCGCTGCATGTTTGTTTGCTATATTTACTTTGGAGGCTCCTGGTGTTCGCCTTTCATGCTAGTCGCTTTTTGGTTTTTATCCAGCGCTCGTATCTTTTCTGTTTTTAAATGGAAAGATTGCCCACTCACTGGAAGCGCAATCTTAATGCGCATTGATCAAATAAGCCAGAAACGGAGGTCACCTTTAAGGTACAGCCTGGTACGAGATCCCCTCCTCTATGGATCTGGATGTTAGAGATGTTAGTCAAAGGGCCCCTTTAAATGAGTATACGGCAATAGGGTCTGGTCATAGGCTTCCCTCCTCTGGTCCAGATGGATCACCTGGGGTCCTGGGTGGATTGAATTGCTGAAGAAGCCAAAATCCTTTCAGGAGAGTGCGCTTGCCATTTACTAATGTTAGCCACATAAGGATTAAAAAGTGTTGATTGAGAGAGTGAAGGTCCACCTACCTCCTCACACCGGTGTAGCGACAAGGTGGGTATCCCATGAAAATTGGCATATCCGCAGCTATATGTCCTGCTCCCAAGCAGCTCAGGTGCAGCAAACAGCCTATCAAGGACGTGAACTGCTGAACCTGTGCATATGGCTGTCAGGGCAGGGGCCGAGGAACGGACAGGCAGGCCTAACAATGTAACGCACTGGCTGACGACAACCACCACCCACAGACCGAAGTCCCTTAGGGCGCGGAGTCTAAGTCCCAGGCTGCCCTTCACCAGGGCCCCTGATGGTGGGGATGGACTTGATGCAGCCAGGAACCAGGTCGCGGCCCCCGAGACACCTCAGCTGCGGTAATGGCCGCCGCCAATGGCGTGTAGCTGGTGGAAGAGACAAAAGAGTAGTCAGACAAGCCGGGGTCA